CCTCGCCTCGCCCTCGCCTCGCCTCGCCTCGCCCTCACCTCGCCCTCGCCCTCGCCCTCGCCCTCGCCCTCGCCCTCGCCCTCGCCCTCGCCCTCGCTCTCAAGCAGGTAGGCCAACGCCTGCAAGCGAACCCTCTTACGAGGTCCTTCTTCATCGTCGGTATATTCATCTTCGTTAAGGGCTGACAAGGGCTCCTTACCATTTCGGGTGGATTGAATAGGTGTGAGAGGAATGCGAGGAGCTTCGATGGCGGAAAAGTGATTTTCGAGACCCGGGTCGTCGACAGGTTCGTTGGGAGACGGTATTCTTGGCCTAATGGACGCTCGAGAGATACGCGGTACCTCGACGTAGACTGCGTTTCTTTGCCTCCGTCGCTACAAGACCGCATATGTAACATATTATTCAGACCAAGGTACGACTCCTCCATGACGGGAAAACCCACCTTCTTAGGGATGTTCTGAGCCCGGTTGTTCTCATCTGGGTACGCATTGTCTGCCATGGCCGTCAGATGTGGAAGAACGAAAAGAACAAAAAAGTGAATAACATACTATCGGGTTCGTCGTTGGGGCCACAAGGCATAGACGTTGAGCCAGAAGCCAACGGCTCAGATGTAGAATGCCTAGGATGGTCTTGGATGCCTATTAGGCGAATCAAGACAGAAAAGCGGCAAGCCAGACTCACTATGACGTTCGCCTGCATCGAAGCCAGGCATTGTGGAAGACCCACCACGAAGTCGGATATCGACGAGTATGGTGCATCCGTCCTCGACACCTATCTCCATGGCAGTTTGACAGGGCTTGAGAGCCTCCGCCGAATAAGGCCAATACGTGGCGTAGCACTCCAGTCGAGTGCTCTCCGCAGGAATAAGATGACGTCTGTGCATCTCGTTCGTCACGTCCCGAATTGTCGTGTGGGGAGAGATTTCTTGTATGAATGTCGGTAAAATATAGACACAAGATAAGATGAGAAGGACGGACGGATGCAGATTGGTCGTCCATAGTTCCAGGGTGTTCGGATCAGGACATTCATTTTTTGTCTGCGCCTTTTCTTTCGACTGAGGCGTGAGTCTGAACATTTAAAAATGCAAAGAATGAGTTTTCACGTCACGGGTCCAAGGAGAAAAATGAAGCGGGGAAACGGACCATTGGATTCGACATGTGGCGCAGTGTAGTCAGCAGTCATGCCGGGTTCCGAAGTGGCCAAATGAGCAGTAGAGGACACGATTGCCACGATGCAGATAAACGCTAGCACTGAGAGGATGTCGATACAGGTCAAGATATATATGAAGAGTGAGACGACGAGGGCGACCGAGCTGAACACATGTTCAGTGGCACGTCGTGCTTGTCTGGTCCTACGGCGGTTGGAAGACGTCTTGCGAGCATACCGTATGAACGCGACGCGTCGGGGGTGCATATATGGGTTGCATGGTATCTTGACTGGCGCAGAAACCATGAAGCGCCTATGATGGTCACGATGTAGAAAGTTCTGAGTTCGAGTCCAGCTGTCGAGAAAGGCAATAGGACGCGACGCTGCACAGCAGTCGCGGACAGGCAAACTCGGCAAAATTGGAGACCTACCTGTAAGGTTACCTGAACCATTGGAAACACTTGTTTTAGGGTTAAAGTAATAGACTTCAGGATCAGACCAAAAAAAGACCAAACTTTTGGCTAAACCCTGAATCTGATTTGAAACACACCATAAAAGTGTGAGTTAACTCCTTTGGTGAGTAGATCGTGTTCCGAACGACGCAAGAAATTCCACGTGCAGTAACGAACGTCTTCGAGTTTCGATCGTACGCTGGTGGCGGTTGTCAGGACACCGTCTGAGCTCGTTTGGAAACAGGAATGACGAGCTTCGCTGAACCAAAGTCTCAGAAAATGATGCCCGTACGCAAGCACAGAGGTACTACGTCTTCGTGCACCGACTTGTCAATCGTCGTCACAGTCAACGTGCATATGTACAACTCTGGAATACTTAACAGACAGTGACGCGTTATGATCATGTACGTAAACGTATGGTAATCATTGAAGAGACGATCACTTGCATCAGCGCGGGCAACTCGAGGTCGAGAAATGAGATGATAGCGTGCAGGAACTAGGGAATATGCAGCGACTCTGAACGTGAGATACCCTGCTGTAGAACGGCCAACATATCGACATGACCAGTGACCTCAATCTCACACGGGTTCATTCAAGCATGTGGAACGACGACACACGAGATCGCGTGGTGGATCCTGGCCTGATTACAAGACGCACGGTGATTGTGGTAAAACTTTGCGCGATTTAAGCGATGAAAAGAGAGCATACCATAACCAATGATGCAAAGAGAGAGGAGTCGAAGGAGAGAGCGCCGAGGGTGAGTTCAACGACGTCTCCGACTCCTGAGAGTCGATCAGCGCCGTCACAACCGCTACAACCCGCACCCATACCTCCACCTTCTGTACCATTGAACGCTCGTCCACCACCTCCTCCGAAGACGATGTTGGCGCCAGAACGGGATTCTTCGAAGACTGCGACGGATCTCACGACTGTTGAGAGTCATCGTACGATGCCGCCACCGCCACTCCTCCTTCTCGTTCTCCTATTCTAAGCCGCCACGTTCAACCGCTCGAGATAGTTCCGCTAGTCAGCAACCACCCCAACAACAACCTCGCCGTACCGCCGTTACTCACAGCTCCGACGAGTACGAAACCACCGACGATGACTCAGACGACGACACCGGCGAGTCCTGGGCCTCCGAAGGCATGTCCGCCGAGGAAACTACCAATCCCACCACCAGCTCCAAACGTAACCAGCCGAATCTCAACAACGCGAGTGGCGGTGATCATAGCCCAGAAAAATTAACAGCTCAGAAACTTGAGGAGGCCTGCATCCGAGGGCGTTCCTCCAGGCTGAGCGCGGGCGGGAGGTATTCGCGAAACAGCCGAAGAGGTCGTATTCGAAACTCAACAGGATGCAGTCGGGCTTCCTGACCGCGTTGTTGAACCCGGACCCGACTTTGTTCTCGGAGAACCGCCCGGTGAAGGCCAACTCTTCGCATGGCATCTAGTCGACGTGTGGGTTGGGGCGAATGGTGATGAGTATGGAGGCGGGTCCGTCGAGAGCTCCGATGGCGATGCCGACGTTATCGACGAGCAAGTCAACGGTGGCACTTCCTGTGGCTGCTCAGGAGGTTACCCCCAAAGCTCCGACAACGAACAGTAGTGATTTTTGCCGTATAACGATCGCCATAACGCCAACTTCAATGCTGTCAAGGGTCATTATCAGCCGAAGGGTTGCCCTCAGGATCAAGAGATGGACTCCGATTCTGATCCTTCGGAACTCTCCCATCCAAACGTACATGAAAAGCTCGCTGCCCTCCCTGCCGATAACAACCTCCGTCGCCGTCTCTCCGATCATCGCACACCTTCCGCATCTAAACCTCCTCATCCATCCGATCTCGTGGATACTCGTCCCGCCTTGCCCAGTGTCGCCACAGCTCCGATCCCATTGAATCGTCCGCGGAATCTACCCACGACAGCTACGGCGCTTAGTACGCCATCGACAACGAGGAAGTAGATGACGAGTACGGATATTAGTGAGAGTGAGGTGAAATTTGTTATGGGAGGGACATCTTGGTGGGAGTTTTGACCCAGAGGAGTATGAGTACGGCTTGGGGGGGTGGTGGGAATGACGGGTGGTGTGCTTGGGCGTGGCTTGAGGCTGTTGAAGTCGACAGCGAGTGAGCCGGGGCACAAGCGGGAGGGTCAAGGTCAACAGAGGCAGAGTCTGAATAAGGGGAAGGAGGGTGATAAGGGATGGCGTTGTTGATCAGCAGACGGAGAGGGAACAGACCGAGAATCTGATATTGAAAGGAAGTCGGCGTTGTAAATCAAGCTCGGGAGTGAGTGGCGTTCGATAACGGGATGAAATAATCCGTCCTTCCGAACTTGTTAGAATAAAGGTCTATCGCGACGCATGAGTTCGCGGACGGCGAGCTGGAAAACTTAGGATTTGGAGAGGACGCCTCAGGGTGGGGTGGAGGTGAGGATTTTGTAGGTTGAGAGGGAGATGTCTGAGGCGGGGGAGGTTACCTGGTAGAGTCGAAAACGTGAGTTGGAATCAGTTCTTGGACGACATTAGCGGAGGAATATGATGGATAGCTCGAAAGGAAAATCACGGTTTGGCTGGCACATTTAATTCGAGTATTCCACCGCGATGCCGTGGAAGGATGCAGCGGATGAGTACTCAGCTCGAGCGAGAGGAGCTTAGTCTCCCTAAACAGAGTAGCCAATCGTTTCAACTAGGGTGGCGCGAGGATCACTCTGTCTGACGTCTGCTTTCCAAACACGGCGCCTGTGCCACCATTTCTCGCACGATGAATTTATTGCGGAATTTAAACCTATAATATAATATTCCGCAAAGGTATTCGCGCTCGCGAATGGCATTCATCCGCGCTCGCGGATTTCATGCCGGAAGATACTGTACTTTTCAATGCAGATGTTCATGTCCCCTGTCCCAGGGGGGTCATGAACGAACCTCCTTCATGGGACAGTCCCACCCTCCGGACCACCTGTGAACCTGAAAATGGGACATGTGGTAAAACAACCGAAAATATAATATTTTCGTGCATTTTCTTCTCATGCTCTTTTTCACCCAGAATATATATATATATTATCATTTCAGAGCAATAGGAGGAAAAAGTGACACTCCTACTGTTAAAATACCTTTTTGAGACCCGGAAGGAGAGCCAAAGCAATTGAAAAACCAAGAGAGTCGCGACGGGAAAGGAACATGGTCCCATGTCCCAAGCCGGTCATGAGCCGCGACACGAACGAATTATGTCATCACGGCAAACTCCGAGGGGCGGTGGCGTGAACATCTGCGTTGAAAAGTACAGTAACATTCGTCAATAGATTCAGGATTGAGTTTCTGCAGTCGCTAAATTTTGGAGATAACGCCCGAGAAAGGTAACATTTAGAACCATCGAAACGGGTTTCTGAAGGTTAACCTATACTTACTAAACTGCATTGCAATCCTCGGCCGAGGAAACAAAATAACCTCACATGCGAAATTCATTAATAAACTAAATGTTTCGGAATGTGTTTCGGGCGCCATTTCTCAGACGATGAATTTAATGTTCGACCAGCTCTGAATACAAAATTCTGCGCCCGAGGTCTTAAATGGATAACGCGTGAGAAACGAGGAGCGGAACTGGACCCAGAATTTAAAGTTCTCTAAAGGATTTCTCACGCGAGACTTTTCATTGTTCCCAAGTGAGAAATATAATAAACCTCGTCCGCGGTTTTTTAAAAATCTCGCGCGAGAAATTTTGCGCCCGCCGTCGCCCGCCGTCGCCCACCGACAGTGCGCGACCAGCGCCCACACGATGCCCGCTTGGTG